GAGTACCAGAACAGAATTCAGGGTTTTGCAATTTCCACTCTGATATTTAGCTCATGCCTCTCGAGAAAGCAAGGCGAGACAGCAGGCAAGGTAACTACGCTGCAATTTTTGAAAAAGCCCCCAGTCACCCTGTGGTATTTAGGCACCTAGTTAAAAATCTAGCCCATAGCAAAGCAGAAACAATTCTTAAATCCAGTGCTTTCTGCTGGCTAAAAAGAATAAAAAAAAGTTCAGTTCTGAGTAAAAGCATCTAAACAAAGATTTCATACATTCTAATTAGTTCACTTTAAAAATGACATCAGTGGAATCTGCATGAACTTCTCAAACGCAGCCACGCAGACCAGCCCTCCACCTAGCCACTCCTTAGAGATGGAACTGAGCTTCACTAAGGAGTCGGAAAGAAAATGCAACAGAAATATAAAATAAAAAAGTCAAACATGACAGTTCTTCAAGTCGATGTTTCCTAGTTGCCAATTTAAACCAGAATTAAAATAAGTAAATCAATTCGTTCTATTGTTCAGCAGCAGAATGTAATCATATGTTCCGAGAAGCATGAACATTTAAATATTATAAGACTTTGAAGTTGTGACAAAGAGTAACATACATTTCTGTGCAAGTTTGGAAAAAAAAAAGGGGGGTCCACAAAAACTGGATTCTCTCCACTTCATGGTAATTCCCCTGCTTTCCCTCCCTTCCTCCTTCCCTCCCTCCAGAGAGGTTAATTGTAAGCAGATTTACAAATCTGAACGTTGCTTCAGTGCACTGAAGCAATCTGGAACAATAATTCTGTGCCTTTATAAACATGATCTTGCTCTGTTCGAGCTCACGGTAGAGGAGGTGTATGTCAGTACGGACGGCTTCTCTGCATCACACCCCGGTACATGGGCTGGGTGTGTGTCTGAGGGGGACCCCAAAGATGATCAAGCATAGCGACCATCCTTGCAGTCTGCAAATTTTATAAAAGAGGATGGAAGTGGAAGTGCTGCTGGGCTAAGCTGAGCAGTTGTGGCAGAAGGAAGTTCCATTTTCTTCACCCTTGTACCCCGCAATAAATCCAGTTTAGGTTTAGGTTTTCTTTAAGGGCAGGCTTCACCTCACAAGCATCCTGCTTGAAAGAGTTCATTATTGTTTGAGAGTTTTGCCCAGCTTCCCCGTGCTCCCTTAATTGCAGGAGGCAGCGCCGTACGCCTGACCCCTCGCCAGCTCCCCAGGACCCAGGTCCGTGCATCCAGGCAACAGCGTGCTTCTTGCTGACACCTGGGGTCAAGCCAAGGATGGTGCTTCAACATCAGCTTAGAGATCACGTAATAGAAGGGCAGAGGTTAGTTTCCTAAGGCTCTCCATCACATAATGAGCCACTGTCAGACGTAGTAGCCTTCTCACTTCAACAGGGGAAAAAAAAAAAAAAAAAAATAAATTCCTGTGTGCTCACCATTTGTCTCAATGTGTTAATTAAAAAAATTAACAGGCTGAAAGGGTAAGAAGGATAGAAATGGTTCGGAGTGGGGATCAGAGCGTCCGCTGCACCTACATGCTCCTGAGCACCCACGCACGAACTGATGCGGGACAGCCATACAGCAAACCCAAAACCTGATGCAGTGCTGGTGGAGGGGCTGGCTCCAGGCTGTTACACCAAGAGCTGCAGGGACACAAGCTCAGGAGTTTCTGAAGGAGGGGGATCTGATGAAAGACAGCAGGGCTTTATTTCAAGCTGTGTTTTGCCCTGTTGTAGGATGATAAGACAATCATCTCTAAGCCGTTTCCCTTCACACCCTTTGTCTCATCTGTTTGGAGCACAAACTTTTTGCAACAGGGACTGCACCATGAAAGACAGTCCCTACATTAGTGGGATCCAGTTTCAGCGGGTCTGGCAGATATTATCACAAGGCAAACAGCTCCGCTCCTGCCTTGGAGGCAGTCTTGTTATTGAACTCTCTTGATCAGATCTGGAGAGTAACATGGGGTTGAAGATAACTTTTTTTGAACAAAACAACCTATAAAGAAATGCAAATCTGGTGCATTCCTTCATCATCTCACTTCATTCTCTAAAACAAGATAAGAGCATACAAGAAATGCTCAGTCCCTCTTCTCTCCCAGAACACAGTACTGCCATTCTTAAAACCTTATTTATCACACTGGCTAGGCAGCCAGTTCTCATCTCATCTCTGACGTTTGTGTGTGACGCTCATTAAGCTCAAAAGGAGTCGCATATGCAAGTACTTTTGCATGCCCTTTAAAGGCAGAACAAACAAACACAGGACTGTAGCTTTAAGCACAGATTACTCTGTATACTGAAATTCTGCATTTACTCCTCCATAGCTCCTGGGAACAAACCTTGGGGTTCCTATTTGCAGCTGCCCTCCACGATTACTTTCCCCATTTGGAACTAGTTTGAGCACTGTAGGCTTGTTTCCCTATGAGATTTCTCTGACACTTTTTTCTGTCCTTTGTTCGTGGCTTTCACATTACAAGGTAACAGAACTGTAAGAAGACAGAAAAACAGAATGTGAATAAGGTACTGGGGGAAAAGAAAAATCTCTGTCTGGTAAGAAAAAGCCCACTGACAAATGTGCCTTTGTTTACATAAACTTCTGAAGAACTTGGGTTGAAAACCTGGAGACATGTATGAAAGAAGGTCAGATAAGAAAATAGTTTTTCAAATCTCTTAAGAGATTAAAAGCTTCTGTTTACAAAGGGGTAACACAGAATAACTTCAGACTTAGTTCTTAAACCCAGAAGAGAAGACACACTGCCCTCAAACTGATGACATTTAAATTAATTTCTCTATTCCTTCACAAATGCCTTCTACAGAAATGCTGCCAGAGGACATCCCTCACTTCTCCCCAGTATCCTCTGTTCCCCCTCCAACCTGCTATCCCCCTTTCAGTGTTTGTAGTGGGTTGAGATAAAGGCAACTGTCAAAGGGCAATTTCACTCCGTTCACCCAAGGAAATAGGCAGAGGAAAACCTGAATTCTTGCTCACAAAGCTCCAGCTACCCTCTGGGAAAGAACAATCCATCACCTAAAAGGCAGTAAGTCTTTATACTTTACCCTAAGTAACTTTGGTTAACATGTTACAAACATTGCTGATATTTCCAAAACTTACTCTAATGTGACGTTACAGCATTTAATAAGATTACTAGTTCACGTCAGCAATAAAATCCTTAAGAATTCAAGACCAACAAGCCCTCAGGTGAGAAAGGCATTTTTTTCTTCTCTTCCAAACTGCACCATACTGTTTTTATTATGGGGGAAAAGCTTCATATGCACAGATATATATGTAGTCAAATACTTATCAATAAAACTCTCCTCATTCAATCTTACATCGTTGTGCATCTTTGTATTTAGCCTACCTTCTCTTTTACTCCCATCATGGTCTCCACTCCAGTAAATCTATACATGAGTAGAAAGAAGTGCACATCAGGCACACGAGAAAACTAGACAGTCCAACAAGGGCAGTGAAATCACAGAAATCCTAAAACCTCTTCCTCCAGTTGCTTGAAACTTAATGTTGGCCCTTTTCAATAAACACAATTTCAGATTTCCATGAAAAGGAGCTGGAAACATTGCAAAGTGGTCCTAAAGATGTATCCGGTTCTTTCTCTGCTCCTCAACACTCTTCCTCTGAGAGGAGAGGAAGGAGAGGGTGGGAGACAGAAACAGGATGCAACCAGGAGGGATCAGCGTGCATTTGGGACCTCTTCAACTCCTGCCCAAGTACGGAGGAGGGAACTACTGAGAAGTCCCACACAATCCAGGAAAGAGAAATGCTGAGGATGAGAATTGGTTTAAGTCACAGTTCAGTCATAAATGTCTCATCAGTGTCTATTTTTTTTCCTCTAGACTTAAAGTCTCTCCAAGGAACTCCTGTGGGTGAATTAAAGAAAAGAAGTGGTGCTGGGCAATTTTTCCCCCTCTCTTATGCACACTCTGCAAATTTCTGTAGTGTTTATTATTGGAATTGACCTACTGAAATCAGGAACATCACTGACAGAGGTAAAAACCCTCAACAATCAAACAAACCACTACATCAAAGACTTTTTTGCTACTGCAATCACTCCAATCAAAAATGAGAAAGTTTCAGAAGCACTACCCCACAGGGATTTGAGAATGGCTTTTTTAGCTAAATTTTCATGCCTGACAGGGATATCAATAAACTGGAAAAAGAGAGAAAAATCACAGATTTCTACCTAAATATTTTTAAATGTTAATTTAAAGGGCAAACCAGAGATTTCTGGAAAAGAAGGGAGAGCAAAATCCTTTGAGTTTTTTGTGCACTTGGCAGTGCTTTTACATAGCAAGGTTTACCGGCTTTGCAGGTTTAGAAGAGGATTTTCCAGCTTGTTTCACCTTTCGGAGAGACTCCAACCAGTAAGAACAGAAGAATCAAGGCCATTACACCATCAGTTTTGTAAAATGGCCCAAACTGGCGCTACGGCTAAAAGAACAACCCCTGGCACAAGCACCTGCATGAGGCATAAGGCCGAAGATGACTGCTGCCTGCTGTACGACAGCCAGCGGGAAGCCCTCGTGGAATGACAGCCTGGGCTGATACCAAGCCCAGCAAAGCTGCGGGTCGATCTGCAGGACAGAGGGAGGACTGAAACTGAGCTGAAGAAGCCAGTGCTGTTCCCCTTACGTCCTTGCCCCAAGAAGCCATTTCTAGAGCAGATGGGAGATAATCCAACCTTAAAGCAAGTATCTGTGGGTTTGTTGTTTTAGAAAACCTGGCGAAATTACCCACACAGGGTGGCCACACGGCACAGGCAGTGTGTTGCGCTAGAAGTTCTTAACTGACGGCATTTAGGCTGCAAAGTTAAGGACTCAGAAGTTCGTAAAGTACAGGTCTGAAGTTGTCTAGAAAATTCATACTCCTTTCTCTGCATATGAATGCAGATACTGGTTTAAATCAGATAATTGCATAATATTTTTCTCCCTTGGGACTGCCACATACACGTAGGATATGACAAACAATAAATTGTTTCTGAAGACAACTTACATTCTTTGGACATTCCCACTTCAAAGCACTTCTGTAGTCTGCAGTACTGGCAGCGATTTCTGGTAACTTTATTGATAACACAGTTTTTATCTCTGTGACATGTGTAAACCATGTTCTTCTGGATACTCCTGCGGAAAAAGCCCTGAAATCAAGAAAAAAAAGAAATCAAATAAACTTCCGAGCTTCCCATAACCCTTAGAGACAGGCACTAACATTGCTTTAAAATAACAAAATAAATTTAAAGTTATGGCTGGAGTATGGAATCTTTAAAGACTCACTCTTATTATAATTTAGTACTGTTTCTTGCAACATAAGACTCATCTCTTAAATAAAAAGTAATTAAATAATGCAACCTAAGGCCAAAATAAACAGAACTAGAACTAGCAACAGCATTCAGGAAATGAAGTCCTAGATTTTACAAAAAACCTCAAATAAAAATAGTTTGGGCTTATGGATGTAGTAATGAGCTGGGTAAACAAGAACCTTCCTAACAGATCCACTTAGAAGCCAAACACTCATCTAACAACCAACAGCCTCTCTCAGCCTAAAGGTCCCATCTATTTTTGTTACTGCAGAGAGTCTCTAGTTCGAAGGCTGCCCGTAAAAAGAGAACTAATTTGAAATCCAGGTCTCTTAGCTGCTGCGACTCCTACAGCAATTAACGAGGCTTCTGCAGGTGGAAGAGTTCCAGCATCAGGTTATTGAGTTGTGAACCTGTAAAAGTTGCCAATTACAGCATTTTTTTTTCTTATTCAGATACAGCTGTGAAAATAATCAAGTAATTACAATGATCTTGAACAGAAATTAAAGACAACTAGAGGTCTGGTTTGTACTTAAGGAACACCATTTGACTGGATTCCTCCTTCGGCAAGTAAAAAGAGAGAAAACCAGCCGTGAATGGTAAGGTTAGCTGGTGTGGAAAAAAGGCAAGCAACAAGTTAAGTTCTTTATCTGCATTAAAAAACTAAGCTTTAGATAATATCGTATAATAATGAAGAAAAAAATAAAGAGGATTACTTTAAGCATTTTAGAGCTCAACCCACAGATATTCAAGCGAAAGTATTTCTGCAATAGACATTTGGAAATTTGACAGCACTATTTAACCTTCTCACTCAGATTTTGAAAATTGTTTCAAAAGCACCAGGGTCAAATTTCAGTCAACATCGTAGCATTATGGAAGAACAGTTAGCAATTTAATATTTGTTGGAGGGCTGGAGAGGTTAAAACTCTTCAACCAGCCACATGTTTACACCCTACAGGGAAGCGGTAAAGTTGATGCCGCAGACGATAGCTCTGTGCCCACAATACATTTGTCTAAAGATGCAATCATGGTAAACTATAGAATTGGCTCTCCTGGAAGCACTCACTGAGATATGCGAGTAATTCAAAAGCCCAAAACCCTATCGTTTAGAGTTAACTGGGAGAGTTTCTGCCCATATGATCAGGGAGTGGCAGGGCAAGCACTAAGGGCTGGTCATAAATTCCTTGCACACCCAACACGCTATAGATGCTAATGGTATGAAAATACCTCAGATTCTCTCAGAACTGAAAAATGCCTCCTTAATCACGTAACCCCTGGCAATAGCCTTCTGCAGCTCTTGCACAGGCAAGCCTCATCCTGAGGTTAGCTCCTCTGATTTAGAAGATACTTAATACTACCATCAAAGAGGTAAATAAACTCTTCGCTTCTCTCTTTTCCTTAAGCTACTGGGCACAGAAGAAGAATTTAAAGCTATTTGTATAGACAATTAAAACCTTTTACGTTATCAATAACACTGCTATTTTATATTCCACACTTTTGATCATTAACACTGCTTGCATCTTCGCAATGGAAAGTATGGCAAGCGTGCATACATTTGTTTACTCGTCAAGAAGAAAATTTACGGTAATATTCACGTACTACTTTCTTGCTTTGATATTCCCCTATTTGCGATGCCCGGCTCTGCGGTAATTGATGATGGTTTAATTCAACAGACAGAATGTGTGAGCTGTGCTGGTTCAAGGGTCTCCATATGGCTTATTCGGCCACTACTTTTTAGTTGGAAAGAGGTAGGGGAAGCCAAGACTGTTAGCTTCCCCTGCAGCCACCCCAGCTTAATCCAGTGCTGCATGTAAATTAACACCCTCAGTAACCGATGGAATAACTCTCCTACCACCAGCCTGACAGGCCAGCAAAGAAAATGGCCCAAACAAAAATGATTCTCTCTTGCAGCAACTGTCTCACGCTGAACAACTGGAGCAATTAAAAAAAAACCAAACAAACCAACCAGCCCCCAAAGCCTCCTCTTTGCCTGCATATGCTTTGGGGCAGAGGCTGCTGCGCATCCATGCTCAAGAGACTTCGGGTTTACTGACGCAGGCACTGCTCGAAACCAAATATGAGCTTCAAAAGTGCCACCCAATACAGGGAAAAGAGGACACAGCCTCCTCCAAATATACCTGTACTTCACTAAAATATGTATTTATATTTTTTTTATATATATATAAAAAACATATAATCAGTAGCTAATGGCACGCACTGATTGATCGGTTATTCCGATATTTAGATGCAGGTTCCGCATCCTTTTAACCCAGGGTTTAATTACAGCCCATCAGGAAGGAAAGCAGAGGAGGCTGTCTCAGTCCTTACCATACAAAGTTGACCACACAGCCCAACAGAAAAAGGTGATCCAACTTCTGCAGACAGCAAGTATAAAGCATTCATGAACTCATTATTAATATAAAAGGCTTGAGAGGATCAAACTCGGAAAAAGCAGATCTCCAGATTGGAATGAAGACAGCTTCTTTAACAGCCTAACCTCCCCAGGCAATGTCCCACGCAGAGTGAAAGATATAGACGGGTATATTAATTGTGGAAGCTCAGACTGTTGTTTTACAAATTACTTTTTAACACCTGTATTTGATTTTCTTCCTGGAGTTACTCACAAAACAGAAAGCAAAGTGAATTTGTTCAACTACGATATTCAGGTGAAAAAAGGTGTAACGTAGTCCTGCTCAAAACTAAGGACGTGTCTCTTAACAGTATATTAGTGCCCACTTCCCAAGTACTCTTCCCCAAGACAACTCGGGAATACTATTTCTACTAAGATTTGTAGCAAGCTCATTTTAAAACCTCAGCAACATGCCACCGAAAAGATTTGATCTTTAAATTTTCCTCCAGACAGGCACCAAGAAAAATGCCCAGATTACAAACATCATTTTGTTTCTTTGCACACAAGCCCCAAACCAAAGCCATCACAGGGGGAGCGACAGGAGCTCAAGCACCGGCGGGCTAGCAGCATTTGCTGGGCTTGGTTCCCCCCCTGCCTCCAAAAGCCCGGTGCCGTGCAGCCCCAAGTTTTGGGTGTTACCGCAAGCAGGGTCATGCTCAGAAACATTTCCCCAATCTGACACTGGGCTAAAAAACCAGGCAGCGCCCCGTCTATTCCTCTGTGGGGGTTTAGACCTCACCTGCTTTGGTTACCTGCAGCTCTGCAGCGAGAGAAAACACTGCAGGACACGGCGATGGGCAGAGCAGGCGCTTGCTGCCCAGTTAAACAGAGGAGCACATTGAAACCATTTCAAGGCTGGGTTCCAGATAGCTCAGGTATAATACACCGGCCTGTTCACTAAAAACAGCAAAGTTAGAAGCAAGCCTAAGTTTTCCTCCAAGTGCTTTTTGTCAAATGGCTTCCATCTGATCCCACAACCCCAAGTTTCTTCAAAAACCAAGAAAACCCAAATACGACCTAACCTCAAGAAACTTCAGAGACAGCAAATCACCACTGCTTATAAACTTATCAACTTCTAGTGCCTACTGGCTCTTGGAAAACAACCTACTACTGACTGTAATATATTCACCTTGAAAGGAATCTGTTTGGCTGAATATTTACACAAGCAATTTTTTATGCAAATATTTTAGCATCCTGTCCGTGTTAACACCCTGTGACGGGAGATGAGACACTCCTGTGCCATAAACAAGCACAAATGATTCTTTCTTTGTAATTTAAAATGCCTTATGAATATAAAAAAAAAAATAAAAATTCTGTGAGACATAGAGCATTACTGTCATACATAATTGTTTTCGACAGCACCTACAAAGTACTTAAAGTTTAAAGTAGAGGAAGCTACTGAAGGCCTATCAGGAATAGTGATTTGCTCTAATATTCCTTTTATCCACAACTTTTGAAAGGAACATGGATCTTGTGTTTTTATTTTAGCGAAGACAAACAAAACTTTGCATAAATCACACTTTCAAATTAATTCTCTTCTTCTGAGCTGCTTTTATCGGCATCCTTTACCCAGAGCATTTTGGCCAAACACTTCAATTTTTAATCTCATCTTTTCTGCGCACCACGCCACGCTCCTCCCAGGCCCACCAATCTTGTTATCTTAATGGATGACAGATAGAGTATCACTCTGACCATGCCACATTAGGCGTCCTCATTTACCGAGTGCAAGGAAAAAATGCTGAGTATAAATTATTCACAAATCTATTGTATCAGCGTGTGTTCTCCGAGCACCCACCACTGGCAGAGCAGACAGATTATTTTTCACTTTTAATTGTGTTGATATCTTATCTGCCGCACTGAAAGCGGAGCATGATACATGAAACCATATGTGTCAAGCAGCAAATAAACCTGGTTTACTACGTCTATTGCTTAGAACCAAATAACCTATTTAGTCGATTTAACTTCAACACAATACCAAAAAACCCCACCTCACCCCACTCACCACTTACTTTTGTAGAATTTGCCTGTGAGCGTGTCAAAACTGGAGAGCTCAGTACAGACCAGTCGTGCCCACAGAGAATATTAACTTTTTCAGTAATATTTTTGAATGTCATTATGCCACTGGCCATCTGAGTACAAAGGGACTCATTAAGGATGAGCCCTCAAGATAACGTTAAGGGTTTAAGCTTACGAAGTCTTACAGAATTGTTAGCGTGAACTGCTACCCTTACACACCTGACAGGGAATCTACACAACTCCCTCTCTCTCACTGTCCAGTCGATTTTGGCAAGCCAGATGATCTAGAGCTCAAGTTAGGCACATCGCGTGAAGAGATGGATTATTTGATCCCGACAACGTCTTAAAAATTATTTTGCCAGCATAAGGCATACGAAATCTTATTTGCAGATATAGTGGGCTTACAAGTTGAAAA